TAATAACGTGCTAGATTAGTGTGATCCTAGTTCATTTTATGATTTCATTGCTGTGTGTGTATAGGTCATTGCTTTGCTGTATGTGTATAGGTCATTGCTGTGCTGTATGTGTATAGGTCATTGCTGTGCTGTGTGTGTATAGGCCAATGTAGTTGGATCTGTATGTGCGTTATAATTAATCGAAATTTAATCGATTAATCGACATTTTATCGATTAAAAACAAATTGCGATCGAACACGAAAATTTTAATCATTACCGGCCCTAATAAAAAGTGCTTTACTTCTTGCACACATCATTGAGTGCTGGTGACTTCTATTATGGACTGTATTGTATAAAGCGCACACTAATGGTGGTGGTGGGGGGGGGGGGGTGAGTAGTAGTTTACCACTGGTAGGAAGTACATTTATATATATTGAAGTGTATGTGTAATCCATTGAGCTTTAATTTGCATTCATGTTCAGGCATCATTATCGGTTCACGATGGCGGCTTACCTCCTGTGGAGGATGTGGAGAGCACAGCAAACATGACTACATTGCAAAGTCCGAATGACAACTCGCAGGCCAAGGACGATGAGGATGACGACGACGACGACGACGATGACGACGACGATGAGGATGACGAGGATGAGGATGAAGAAGGGGAGGACTCTGATATGGATGAATGGGAAGCCGACCCACCACGACCTTTCGATCCCAATGACCTGTGTGAGTTATTTCCGCAACCATTAAAACCGCGTTGGAGACGAGCGTATAGCGCAAGGTGCTGCTTTGATCCGTGTTGCAGCTGCTGAGTTGGTGTCGTAAACAACATGTCCCCTGTCCCCCGCCGTGGTTTGACCACACTGCGCAACCACGCTGCTTAGCGGGAGATGAATATCTAATTAGGAGTGACAGGCTGGGTTCACACCTAGGCGTATCGAATATGCACGTTTTTCCCGCGTTTCGTGTCGCGCGTTTTTCGCTGTAAAAAACCGTGCGACAAACGCGCGTTTCCAAGGGCTACTTGGCTGTATCCAATGGTACTTCTTTGGGCGTAGGACGTTTTGTAGCGCGATCATACGGCCTGTAATACGCCCGGGTGTGAACCATGCCCATAGGAAATGGATTTCTGTGTTTGAGCGTTTTGCAGAGTGTAGGAACGCGCTACAAAACGCCCAGGTGTGGACCGGGCCTAAGCCCTCGTTCACACCTGAACGTTTTGTAGCGCGTTCTACGTTCGACGCACGCTCTACAAAACGCTCAAACATGAAAATCCCATTGTATTCAATGGGTCTGGTTCCCACCTCGGCGTATTTCCGCCCGTCCCTAACGCGCTACAAAACGGCCCACGCCTGAAAAGGTCCAGGTACTACTTTGGGCCGTTTTTGTTGCGCGTTTCCATTGGGATACAGCCAAGTAGCCCTCGGAAACGCGCGTTCGTCGCGCGATTTTTTTTTACCGCGAATCGCGGTAAAAAAAACGTGCGACAGACGCGCATATGCAATACGCCTAGGTGTGAACGAGGACTAAGTCTCTGACAACAGGTGTGTGCTGGAGGTGAACGCCGTCCTTCACTACAGCAGGGCAATGGGATCAGCTCAGACACCACACCAGCAGAGAGCTAGTAACGGAGGAAGGGGGCAGTGGCTACAGCGGTGCGCAGTAGCTCTCCCATTGGACCCCTCCCATAAATTGGGCTTCAGCTTGGGGTGGAGCTGACATTCAGCACAGACAGACAAAGATTTGCCGCTGATCAGAACAGAACCAAGTGCACCATTTACTCACTACACCGAAACCAATGCATGTAAATGTCATTATTGCTACGAATGTGTTTCATTGACTTGTGTCCTCCGGCACACTGTGTATAGTTCTCCACACTTCCAGTCACTGGGCTCACCCCCCGATAGGCTTCCATCTATACTGTGTGATGGGATCAGTGCCTTTTACATGGGGAGCCCTTAGCACGGTGTAAGGTACAGCTCCGGTAAATTATAGCTCAGGACTTTCCTCTCGCACCGTACATCGGAGGAGCCATAAGACGGTTGGGTATATTCTGCTGGTGAGGGCGGAATTAAAGGGAATTAAAGGGAACTTGTTGCCCTGTGTAGGCGATCCACCGAGTCACGTTATAACGACATAAGATGTGCGTTATATGGAGGGCAGATCTGCGCTGTACAATTTATCACAGCAGTGCATGGAGTGTTCATTCCACCTCCCGATAAACTGTCGGGGGCAGAGGGGGGGCAGTCTGTACCCCGAAGAAGTGGAAGGGATTAGCACACGTTAGCGATACATTTGATGCTTAGAAGACGGTTATTCTTCAGGGACGGCGGGCTAATGCAATCCCCCCTTCAGCCAGCCTTCTAGGTGATCAGAGCCTCCACATCTTCTTGTAGTCACCCCAGGGAGCGAATGTGTTGCTAGGAGACAACAAGATCTAATGCTTCAGATATAGGAAAATATAAAGCTGTT